TTGTGTGTTTTGGCCGTGTTTTAACTTATGAGTTAATCTTTTCTTTTTCCCTGTTTTAGACAAGTCATCCAGTATGTATGGCCAGATGGCTCATAGTATTGAACCAAATAGTACAGCAGATCTATCTCCAGTCACTGCTAATGATGATAATGTGGGTGATGTTGATGATGATAATCCTTTCTCAAAGCGAAGGTATTGTTACTGTCACTGGAGGCTTTAGCTTTTTACCCTGGTTTTGTATGCTTGCTTAGTGATATTATTGAATACGAGCAGGAAGATGGATGGGGGGATTGATATCACTCCTGTGGTGAAGCCAATCCGGGAACCACGTGTTGTTGTACAAACTGTGAGTGAAGTTGATATCCTGGATGATGGGTATCGATGGCGCAAATATGGGCAAAAAGTAGTGAGAGGAAATCCTAATCCTAGGTACACATCATGAAAATTTGATTAAATGATAATAGTCATATACTCGTATGTTTCAACATGTGGTTTTTAGAACAGTATATTAGTTGGCATGAAACTTCATTGGAAGCATGCTGGCTTTTGCGCATTGTCATATATTAGAGAAAGACAACATATGTTTCTCAGATTTTCTATTCAGTTCTGCTTGGTGATATTTGTATTTGGTTGTTTTGCTTATTTAGATTATAATTTTCCAGACCTAAAGGCACATGCTTTAAGATCTTCTATTCAGTTTATGACCTTATTCTTTTATCATGGTTTATTACATTATTTGATCTTATTTTTATTTTCTGCGTACTTTCTATGTAGGAGTTATTATAAGTGCACAGCTGCTGGTTGCCCTGTTAGAAAACACATCAAGAGGGCATCTCATGATCCGAAAGCTGTTATAACCACATACGAGGGAAAACACAATCATGATGTACCTACTGGAAGGACCAATACTCATGATACAGCTGGACCTGTAAAGGCAACATCAAGGATTAGATCAGAAGAAAATGATGCCATTAGCCTTGATCTTGGTGTTTGGATTAGTCCTGCTCATGAAAATAGTTCGACCGAGCATCAGCAATTGCATTCTGAACTCGTCCAAAACCACCCTCAGACTGGTGATTCTAGTTTCAAGCCAGTTCAACCAACTCCACTGACAACATACCATGGTGTTCCTAGTGGTGGCATGAATCATTATGGATCTAGAAAAGCACAAAGCGAAGGTCACCGTGTTGAAATTATGCCCCTAAATCATTCGTATGCATATGCACAGACCATGGGAAGAATACTAACAGGTCCGTAAATCTGTCAACAATGAAGGTACAAGAGATAAAAACATGGACATTCCTTCCCCCCCCCCCCACCATCTTTTTGGCTGGTAAAAGAAAGGTTAGAAATCTTATTCTGAAAAATGTGTGTATTGTTTCTCTATATATAGTTTACTGTCTGCTGATCCTGTTAACTAGCGTACAAACTACTTTCTGCCGAGTTCTGTATAAACTTGGGAGTTTGTACAAAAATGGAACTGGTACGTCTTATTTTTGTTACAGGAAATTGTTGTAAAACATGTCCTGGTTGATGCAATTTTGATGACCTGACAGTGTATGAAGTATTGTTATTTATCAAACACAACTAATATAAATCATAAAGACATACGCCCCATTACAAGTGCTTCGATCATTAAGATAATGGTAGTAGCCCTGTAAAAATTTCGTATTTATAATATGGTACGGAACAATATGTTATTGTATTATTACTATTAATTCCTATTAAGCATTTTAATACAAGTTGCAGTTATGCAGTTGATGCTTGCAGGGATCTTCCATTTTTTGCTTTCATTTCATGAAATCATACAACTCTACAGTCACAGTCAAACCTTTCTGCACATCATATAAAAAATGTCCATCCTTTTGGATTCCACTGCTATTGAATGGGTAAATGGTATGAATCATTTCTTTTTCTTACTAAATTTGTGAGATTTCATTTCGTTTCTTACATCCAAAATCTGTTTTGTACGAGTTGGATCTATTGGATAACCCGACTTTCAATGGGAACATGAAAACAGAGACTAAATCCAAAAGCAACGAGTTATATATGTTCCTCCAGATTTTTGGAAATTAATTGGTAGCTTTTGCTGTTAATTCTCCTCTTTGAGACTATCAATACTCGGCCTCAATTGCCATAATGTTGCCACCTATGCTTTCAATCACCATTGATATTTTGAGGCTTAAGAGAAGATAAAAGCTCAAAAAGAAATGCAGCACCCAAAGTTGATTTTCCATGATTTTGCCTATGGCTAAAAGGCAAAGATAGTTGGCCAAAATTCCCTGAGATATCAAGGGGAGACGAGGTCACTTACCGAATCGAATTACTTAAAATCGATCTGACATCTATTTAATTGGACTAAATTTCGATCCAATTGATTAATTCGATTAAAATCGAAAAGTGAATACCATTCGTGCCTATTCCTCCAACAATTAAGTTAAAAGACAAGAGTGCTCCAACAATAATAGCCCCATTGAAAGAATCCACTAACTATACCTTTCTCTTTCCATTACATTTCTATTCAACAACTTCATGACAAAACACACAATATCAAGAAAAAGAAAGAAAAAGAGTTTTCTTTTCTCAATGAATCAAGAACTCCTATGTTCAAAATATACTCTTTTTCAACTCTTATCACCATTTACAGATTGAAATTCAAACTTTAAACATGGTTTGATCAAACAAAAGATGAAGATTGGTGAAAATAGTACAAGAAATATCCCCCACAAAAAGAGGGGCACCATCTTTCCTGAAAGGCTAATAGCTCTTGGCAACAAGCCGACAGAGCATCAACCATCCTATCATCTATTTTTACCTCAACACATTGCCACATAACTCTGCCTGCTTGGACTCTGTATCTAAGCGGCTGATTCTACCGTTGCTTTCTTTCCTTGTACATCATTGAGAATCAACTAAAGCAGCTTGCATTGAACAGATTAACGATTTCAAAGCTTATAAATGTCCTATATATAACAATATAGTAACCTCAGATCACCTTATGAGCATTCTCCTCTGTACCATCGATAGGCTCCGGGTTTATTTTTTCTTGATGGGAAGGCAGAGTGAGCCGGCTGTTCATTCTTCCATTGCTCTCTTGCAAGAGAGGTTTAGACGGCTGCAGCGAGCGAGGGAATTGAGGCAAGAAAGAGAGGTTTTACTGTTGCTATCCGAAGCAGAGAGGATCAAATCAGGCACACCAAATGAAACATCGCAATCTTTTTTCCATTCCGAATTGATGCTTAAGCCTACTCCGCATCTCCAAGGATCTGCATACGGTGAATCTGGCATGCGGAGCATGCATAATCGACGCCAGGTTATTGAAACTCCGATATTTTCGAACTTACAGCAGAAAGACACGGTCTTGCATACATTTACCTTTAATGATTCAGATGTTGACACTTCATCTGTGAACAATTGTAGTTTATTCTCGTATTTTTCTTTCATTCTCCGGTTCGAGTCTTTACCTCTTCTTATGGAGCTGTAAGAAATTGGTAAGGGGGAAAGGGCAGTCTTCCGGGGGGAAATGAGAGAAACAAATAGTGTAATATATATATCATCCAAGTATAACACTATAGTCCATTAGGACTCTTCTTTATTCTGTAATGATCAGCAGTTATATAATGATCTGACAGGTCATCCTCTTGCCTCTTTAGAAATGCATCTTCACCATGGTTGCCATTATTTGAGTCTTCATCATTGCTTCACTTCCTCTTCATGACTTTCGGAATTGTCAGAGTAATTGCCATGGTATCTAATAGAGCTCCCTCATAGTTTATCCTTTCAAAATCGTACAGAAATAACTTTCTGGGCATTTCCTGCAACTATCTGCACCAAAACAAGTTTCCCACATTAAAGTATTCGTAATACAGTTGATCAAGTTTTGGCCTGATAAACATTTCAGATGAATAGAGTTCGTATTTGAGAAGAAAAAAATGCAAAGAACGCTTGCATTTGTAGAGACAGTCATTCGAAAATGCCACATCCTACATGAAGAGGAGATGCCACAACGAGTGCTTTCCAGTGTTTCCTTCCTAATAGTTTCATTCTGAACTATGTAACATATGTTTAATGCAATTTTCTTGAATGCGTATTCTTGTTTACTTTTCACCGTGATTGAATACGATAATCAGTCCCAGTATATCTCAAAGAATGTCTAAATTTGAGTGATCCAGGTTAAACAAAAGGGAGATGGATCTTTGTGCTTATGCCCTTTAGGCAGAAAGACACTGATTCGTAAGAAAAATGTCATAGTGAATCAAGTTCATAATGTCAATTGTTGTGTAATGTTTCAAGAGTTCCTAATAATTCATAATCCAGATGCCATAAGTTCTAACTGCTTTCATTTTGTATGTATGCAACTGAACTCCTTTTGAGGAACATTTAGAAACAATACAAGCAAAAACTTGCAGGTAGAATGAAAGCTTATGCTCAAGCATTTATATAGATAATAATAAGTGATATAAGTAGCTTACTTCTGGAAATTTGATATGTAGATCTTCAGAAAGTTCATCAATAAATGTATTAGCATCAACATCAAAGATTCCGCCCGCTCGCATTATAATATAGACGGTTTTATTCCGGATCTCCTCCTGCAGGAAAATTTTAAAAGCTTATGTATTGACCCCATAGTCTAAATAAGTACTACTTGATCCTCATTCCTCTGCATAGAGGACATTCAGTGCTTACTTGAACATTATGCAAGTTCACATGTTTATCAGTTCAATTTACTTCTTGGTGTTGATATCAATGCCGTTTACAGAATAAGTAATGCGTAGGCAACAACACTGAACTCATCGAAACTGTGTTTCTGCTGCCACAGCACTACAAAAAAAAATGACGTTAATCTTTTGGTACTTCAGCAACTCATCGAAACCAAAACTATATTTGTTCCACTTGGAGGCCAAAGGTGTAAAGAGTAGAAATTGGAGAATAAAACAATCCCATATGGCTACAAAACATAGAAGAACACCCCAACCGACTTCCATAAACAAAAGAGCTAATTTTATGGGCTTAACCACGGAGCCGACTATTCTTTCGCCTTTTACTAGAGAATACCGCGTGCTCTCCACTCAAAGCGGCATACGCCTATTTTTAGAAGGGTGTTCCTAGTTGAATGCCCCCATTCCAATCCTAGTTCCAAAGATTAAGACTGAGTTTTCAACCCTCTTGGAAATGTGCATGCCATTCCACGCAAGACTAGCACTGAAAGGATCATCGACGAGAGATATCAGCATACTGGGCATGCAATCTGTATTCATTTTATAATTTATGTTGTATGTACTTTTATATAAAGGGTAAAATATACAAATGGTCCCCTTTAACTATCAAAAGTATGAAATGGTTCCTAATTATATATTGTTTTGTTGAATCCTCTAATTATTAATATTAAAATTAATAAAACCATCACCCGATTATTCATATGTTTCAAACTCGTTAATAACTTATTAATTGCATCTTGTCGAGTCAGTATTTGAAAATAACAACGGTGTGAGTAGATATCATTAAAATATAATTTTATCATGTCTTAATCATCATGCTAAAGTCCAACTTAGACGACCATTAATTTTTTAATAAAAAATGACGAGTTTAAAACATATGAATAGTTTGGTGACTATTTTGTAACTTTTAATAGTTGAAAGACTGAACAAAACAACACCCTATAAACAAAGAAATATTTTGTAACTTTTAATAGTCGAGGGTTCAATAAATCAATATCCTATATTCAGGGATCAATTGTGTACTTTGCCTATTTATAAAATATATTTATGATTTATATTATCATTTTTTTACCTTTTTATTTTTAATTTTGTAACATAAATTATAAATAAATTTTCATAAAACTAATAAATTCGAATTAATGTTATAAATATATTTTTATAATTTATATTATAATCAACATATTTTCATAAAATTAATATAATTAATTTTAATCAAAGTTTAATTAAAATATTATTATTTTTAATTGTGTATCATGTTTTTAATTTAGTATAGTGGTTAGATATTTTGAAGTTCTAGGTTGGAACCTCCAAACATAATATTTGACCTGCTTTTTATTGATCAATAAAGTGTGACATATGTCTCAATTTTATTAGAGAGTTAACCTATTAAAAATGGCATGTGATGGAAGTAAGACATTTTTAGAATTTAATGACTCTAATATAAATTTGAAGACCTAAATGCTCTAAAATTTCGGTGACCATAAATCTTACCTAAAACATTATTCATGTGTATCAATTTTGACTAATAAACTTTGAATTTTTGGTTTAATTATTTCATATATTTTTTGAGGATGATTTAAACACCCAAATATATTTATCTAAATTCAGTGATTAAGAAACAGATCAGATGGGTTGTAAAATCTATTTATTCAGTACAAACTTTTAAAAAGGACAAAAACAAATAAAAATATTTTGTATATTATATTTATTAGACTTAAACATTTAAATTTATTAATTTTATATGAAAGATTATATCACCAAACTAATAAATATTTGATAATTACAAACTCGATTTATAATATTAAAAATCACCTGCTCAACACTTCATCTTATTTTAATTAAGGTAACTACATTAAATATCATTAAATTTTAGGGTTTGCATCAATTTTATCATTGAATTTTAAAAAATCTCAAATTTAATATCAAATTTTAGTTTTGACTTCAATTATAATATCGCCGTTAGACCGTTAATAGCATTACGACGTGATTCTCTTTTTTCCCTTTGAATTTTAACTCTGTATCGATTTTGTAATTAAACTCTTAAATGTTTTTCTTTTTAAGCATTGATCTTTAGTTCATGTATCATTTTAATCCTTACAACTAATCTAGCTATTGCTACTAGTAAATCGTTGTCCATTATCAGTCATTATTCACGATAAAATTGATATCAAAATATTTACATTTTACTTCTCTTTTTTCTCGTGGAATGATTTTCCATAAACCTCACTCAAAATCGACAAAAAATTATACAAATGTTTGATGTTCTAATACTTCGATCTCCTCGAACAGTCATCCAATGAAGATAATTTCAAATATGTTTTTCATTTTCTTGAAAGAATGTTTCAAACTGAAGGATTGATGTTTTCACCGTCCATATTTTCTATAAAAAAAATACTCCAAAACCCTTAAATATGATAAAGCCTTTAAATTTCATAAAAAAACTGGTGAATTTTAAAAAGACTTTGAAAAAAAACTGAAAAGATGGTATTACACAATAAGACAAATTCATTGATATCTAGAGTGATCGTAAAAAATATCAAAGAGCGGTATTTTTCAATGACGGTTAGATGAAAATTTCAACTTTACAAAGAATAAGATGATGTGAATTAAAAAAATTAACTTTTACATCAACACACGTAAATGTCATGCAAGCATCAAACTATCATATAATATAAATATTATAATTATAGTCAAAATCAAAGTTCAATGTTATAACTGAAATTTTTTTAAAATTCAATAATAAAATCGATACAAACAGTAAACTTAATTGGTATTTAGTGTAATTTATTATTTAATTGATGCAAGACGTGAGCAATAAAATCAAGAAAAAGACAGAGGCGGCACTAGCTTATTTTGTTTTACCAAATACATGACAGGAACAACTCATCATGTTTTGGCGGCTACAATAGGATCATTAACTTACAGTTTTCCACTGCGGCGTCTACGACGTTCAGTGGGAAAGAAACCCAAACACATTTCCTCCATCCCGATTCTAATGAACAATTTTAGAAGCATGATACGGAGTAGGAATAAGAACAAGGTCATTTTTCCTCTTGACAGTCATGCCAAAAACTTCATCCATATCCAGATCCTCCCCTTTCATTCCATTGGGCAGCTTCCAGTCAAAATGGAATAACAACTGCGCCAGTGGCAGCTCCAGATTGGGTGTCGCGAACGTGATCCCTGGACACATTCTTCTTCCCGCACCAAACGGGACGAACTCATAATTGGTTCCCATGTAATCGACTGAACCGTTGAGGAATCTTTCGGGGTAAAACGTGTCTGGGTCGTTCCAGTAATTAGGGTCTCTTCCTAGTGCCCATGCATTGACGAGGACTCTGGTTTTGGCGGGTACTTCGTAGCCGTTGATTTCACAAGCTTGGTTGCATTCTCTGGGGAGTAACAATGGCACCGACGGCCGGATTCGGAAGGTTTCTCTAATGACGGCTTTCAAGTATTTGAGTTCATGAAGGCCTGATTCGTCTACGTTTCCTTTTGATCCGAAGACTCGCCTTACTTCAGCTTGAGCTTCTTTCATAACCCTTGGGTGTTTAATCATTTCGGAGAGTGCCCACTCTACGGTTGTTGATGATGTTTCACTTCCCGCACCAAAAACGTCCTGAAAAAAACATAATTAAAAGGTTCGATTTTTAGTATACGAGACAAAGATCAGATATGGGTGTTTCATGTTGCCGGTGAAAAGGTTACTAACCACGATGACTGATTTTATGTTCTTGTCTCCCAAGGGGAACTCATTCTCCTCTTGAATTCTCAAAAGCACATCGACAAGATCTTCTTGTTCAGCTTGTTCATCGCCATTTTTGACTCTAGCCCTTCTCTCCCTGTGTTCCCTAATGATGTTCTCGATAATCTTATCGTTCTCCTTATGCATCTTCAGGACTTTCTTCTCCACGCCATTTAAATGTTTAAGAACTTTAATGGAGGGAAAGAAATCAGACACACAAAACCCAGCAAGCAACTTAGTGAGTTCCGTAATACTGTCGATGTAAGTCTCTTGATCCTTACATTTCCCCCCGAACGCTGCTCTGGCAACCACCCCATATGTCAAGGAGAAGATCTTGGAGCTGATATTCACCAGCTTCCCGCCACCTTCGTGTATCGTCTTCACGAGATTCAGAACCTCTTCTTCCCTTATCGATCGGAACGATTGGACCCTGGAGGCGCTCAACAGCTCGGTGGTGCAGACTTTACGGAGGTGTCTCCAGTAGGGGCCGTAGGGGGCGAAGGCGATGTTGGTGAAATCGTACGTGTAGATTTTGGGGACGTCAAGGGCCGGCCTGTATGAGAAGTTGATGTCGTGGGTTTTCATTACTTCTCTCGCTACTTCCGGTGAAGAAACAACGACCGTGGAGATTTCACCGAGCTGGAGATGCATGAGTGGTCCATGTTTGAGGGCCAAGTCTCTGAGGGTCTTGTGGGGTGAAGGGCTGGCGATTTGGTGCAAATTCCCGATCACCGGCAATCTCCTTGGCCCTGGGATTGAATTCTTGGGTTTTGATTTCTTTAAACTTCTGAATATGAAGATGGAGACGAGGAGGATGGTGAAGAGGATTTGAAAAGAAGGAAGCTGAAGCTCCATGGCCAGAAAAGAAGATCGGATCAGATGATTGAAGAAAGGTGAAGCTCATTGGGACATGCCCTTGAATTTGTTAATTTATAAGGTACTCGTAAGTACAGGACAGTGGATAGAATCAAATGTGCTTGGGTCACTTGTTTGAAAGATTATTACATAAATTTCCAAACTATTATTTGTGTAAATAAATTTTCAAAAGTGACTGCCGTAATCTAATTATTTAATTAGACAATATAATAAATAGGTGAGCGTGAAATAATATGTAGTTTATCAAAACAAAGTTTATACTTGTCACTCACTCGAACAACTTTGACTACCCACACCAAACTAATGAACTCACCGAGTTTCAGTTGGATTATTTTGAATAAATTATATTTCCATTTATAAATTTAATAATCTATACATTTTAATATCGTTTTCATGTAAATTTCTCAAAAAATATGATTGATATTTTGGTAGTTGAGTCATGATTGCTGGCTCTGGTGGTCAAAATACAAAAGGGTCCTACCTTTATTTATATAATATAATTATATGGGTAAGTCCATTTAATCAGTTGATTAAATTATTTATTTTTTATATTCTTTTAAGTTATTTTTTCTATATTCATTAAAAACACTTTTCTTCTCTTAAAATTTTCTCATCCCCTTCCTTTTAGAATTATTATTTTCCATCGATTTTAATTAAGATTAAAATTGGATTTAAAGTATTATATAAAAAATAATATTAAATATAGCTGCTGAGATTGAAGTCCAGTGGCGTAGTCAAATTATTTGAATCCCACCACCACCAACTTATACTAATCAAACTATGGTATAGTGGCGTTATTATTATTATTATGTTCATTATTGTAGTAACGTTTCTTGGCAGCTTTCATGGCTGCTTATTTTTATTTGATTTATTGCCTTTTGCAGATGACTTTTGGTCATATTTCATGTTTTTTAAAAAAAATATTATTGTTCATTCAACTTCACATTTTTTCTGAATTTTAAAATCGGTTCCAAACATTTTCAGCTACCTAATCTTATTAGAAAGGTATAATGTTAAAATTAGTCACCAACAGTATTTATTAGAATGTTCATGTAGATCCTTATTTTTTTTTAAAGTATTTTGGCCTTCAATATCTCATTTTAGAGTAAAAAAATTCTTAATATTTAACTAAATAATCACTTTAACCCTTATTCTTTTATTTTATAGCATTTGGCCATTCAACGTTTCATTTAAGATAAAAAACTATTATTTTAAAATATTAATTGCTTATTAACTAATAATTTTCATCCATTAAATAATCTTTTTGCCTCAAACTGAAATGTCGAGACTAAAAATACTCTTAAAACATAATATGGACTAAAATTGCCGTTTTAATAAAGGTTGAAAGCTAATTTTAATATTAAACCTATTAGAAAATCTGAATTATGGCCAAGACGATGTAAGGCGGCTGACTGTCTTCCTCAAGTTTCATTATGTTAAACATTGTTTATCCAATGGATCCTTATGTAATTCTTTACTTTATATTTTCATTTTATTTATTTTATTGAATTTTACTATTTTCTTAATAAATTATATTGGACTTATATACACACACTTGTATATACATACAAGGCAAAGCTAGGGGCTTGTCCATGGTTAAATGATGTAACAATAATTTTAGTCTTTGAATGGACTAAGTTTATCATAATAAGAATTAATTTAAATTTTATACCGGTATTAGAGTTTCGAATAGCTTATTCGTATGATTTCAAACATTTTATTGATTGAATTGACATCTAAATAAGCTTTCACTACATCTATGTGAGGATTTAAATTCACCCAGCGACGAATAAATCATCTGAGATTGAACAATATGTAGAAGCGTAAATAATGTTAAAACTATTTAAGCTACCAAGAGAGACAATAAAACATAAAGAGTAGTAAGATAAAACAACAAGAAAAAATAAAATAGATGTATGAATTTTACTACTCTAAGAGTAGAATGTATGATTTTAATTCAAGTTATTTTGTGTTTATATCACGAATTATTTTCTCTTAACCCAAGATGTGAATTACATAACTTATAAGTTACTCGAGCTTAGGAAAAGAGTTGAACTTGGTTCAACTATTTTCAAGTCCAATAAGCTACAATTTCACTTCAAGTATCGGTAATATTTTATAAATATTTTAAAATTTTATTTTAATTTTTAATTTTTAATTTTTTAATTTTTTTATTTTAAACTTTAATAGTTTTTTTAATACTCTTAATGATTCATTTATCCCCTAAATAATATTTTTTGTAATAAATTATCCACAATTTTTTTATGTAGTCTTCTTAGCCCTAACATTTACTTAATGTTGTTCGTTTTGAACTAAGCGTTAAAATATCTTTGTTCAATAAGATTGTGCCATGTGGCATATATGTCTACCTCGCTTTAATTAAAAAAAAAGGTAAATGGAAAGTTAAATCTTTCAAGTTTTATTTGTGTTTAGTCTAATCCTTATGAATTTTATTTTATTTAAAATTAACCTTTATTTATTTTTAAATTTTATAATTTAATTTAATAGTTTAATTCAATTTAATTTTTAGAAAACCATTTAATCTAAAATTAAACTCTATAATTTATTTTATTTTAAATTTAGTTCACTACTTATTATTATTGATAATATTATTTTACAATTTATTAATTAAAATAAATTACTCAGAATGTGATAGAATTCTGAAATATATATTTCTAGTAATAACACTGAATGAACAATCCAGCAGACAAACTGACAGGATGGGCTATAATATGCCCAAAATAACAGTAACGTAAGAATGAAAACGCAAGCCAACAATGGAAAAATAAGAAGGCGAGGAAGATGACTTGGAACTTGGAAGTAGTGTATTACCGCAATAAGGCACGGTCCCAAAATTTAGTTTAGGAGAAGAATTTATAAAATTTTAGAGTAGAGCAAATGTATAAAATTTTAAATGGAAGATAACAAATTATCCATAAAAATATAAAATATATATATATATAAAATAGAGAAAATCGCCTCAGTGACCAAAAAAAGTTATAATATACGATTTTAACCAACTTTTTTTGGATTTGCCAAAATGACCAACAAAATCGCAACGCGAAATAAAAATCGCAACGCGATCCCCAGAATCGCAAATCAGTTTCCAAAATCGCAACGCGATTCTTGAAAATCGCAATGCGATAGTACAAATTCGCATTGTGATTTTCCAAAATCGCAACGCGAATATGAAAATCGCAACGCGAACACATAAATCGCAACGCGTATCCGTAAATCGCAACGTGTATCCGTATATCGCAACGCGTATCCGTAAATCGCAATGCGTATCCGTATATCGCAACGTGTATCCGTAAATCGCAACGATAATCCGTAAATCGCAACGAGAATCTGTAAATCGCAACGATAATCCGTAAATCGCAACGAGAATCTGTAAATCGCAACGATAATCCGTAAATCGCAACGAGAATCTGTAAATCACAACACTGAAATTTTGGGTATATAACACTGAAATCATAAACTAAATCCCTAAATCGCAACTCATTCCATCTCCATCTATCACTCTCTCCGGCGACATCTGTTCCTATATCCAACGACATCCTTCCCAATCCGGCAACTGGTTTTAGTTTCGCAGCTCGTCTGTTTAGTAAATTAATTTACAACCATGAAATCATCTAATGTTGATCATGTTTGGATAGATTTGTGTTTTGGAGGGTCATGGGATAATGTTCATGGTGTTTTACAATATATGCCTTTACCCATGAATCTTCAACTAAAATTGTCTTTACAAAAGTTAACTTATGAAACTCTAATGCTACGTGTTTCAAATAAATTGAATTTAGAGCCCCTAAGTGGATTTAGGCTATCTTATCAGAGAAATGGTAAAGTTTATTTGTTAACCGACAATGAAGATATTGAACGATTCATTGCTTACATTAGTGTTTCACAAGATGATGTTACATTGTATGTTGTTGAACCTAGAAGTAGTATTGTTGGGTCAGTAGCGGGTAGTAATCAACTAAGTTTTTCTCAAAACCCACAACCTTTCTCTAATCCAAATCCCAATCAACTTTCAGCACCAAATTCCGATTTTCGTATTGACCAGTTAGACGATGATGAGCCAACAGAAAAAATTGTGAGTACTAGTCAGTATTCGAAATTTGGTCTTGGTCAATATCCGGACTTTGATATTGGTCAATACACGGATTTTGATGATGTTTCAGAAGAAGAAACAGACCCTGCGTGTAATGATTTTGATATTGGTCAATACCCGAATTTTGATGATGAAACAGCCGTTGCCGAAGAATGTATTGTTGATGATAATGAGGAGGAAGTTACGACTGTGAATGAACATGTTGAACATCCATTCTGTAATTCATATAATCCTGAAGAAGAAAAAGAAGAAGAAAAAACCCCGAAGAAAAGAAAATTCCACGGGCGTATAACTGGAATATGCCAGAATTACTTCAGATACCGGAAGAAGAGTTGGTAAAGAAAGCAGTTGATTGTTACACAAAAGTTATTCGTATCAAGAAAGATGATTGTTTTGATACAAAGGAAGACTTGAAGATAGCTTTGTATACGAAATGTGTGGAAGATGGCTATCAACTAAAAGTTAACAAATCAAGCAAAGATCGTTTCGAAACAAGGTGTATGATTGACAAAAACTGTATGTGGCGAATGATTGCAAAGAGAATAAAAGATTGCGAAATGTTTCAAGTTAGGACTTTTATTGATAAACATACATGTTCAAGAACCCAAGTTTTTCCTCACCATAGACAGGCAAACAAAAAGGTGTTGGGTGGTTTTCTGGCTGAGTTAATGTTTTTGAATGGCAGGGTATATCGGGGACATGAAATTATGACTGACATGAATGCTCGGTTCAAGATTAGTATATCATATTCTCAAGCTTGGAGAGCCAAATGTTATGCCTTGGAATTGTTGAGGGGGTCGCCAGAAGCATCGTTTGCCCAACTGCCGGCTTATTGTCACAATTTAAAGCTGAAAAATCCTGGGTCGGTAACTCATATCAAAACAGATAGAGATGGACGCTTTGAGTTG